TTTTTTTTTTGTAGAGATGGGGTCTTGCCTTGTTGCCCAGGCTGGTTTTGAATACCTAGGCTCAAGTGATCCTCCCACCTTGGGCTCCCAAAGCGCTAGGATTACAAACGTGAGCCACCTCACCTTGTCCAGATCCAATTCTTAAATACAATGCTAATATGAGATGCATCCACAGAGTGACCCCCTCAGTTTACAGATGTAGAAACTGATATTCACCATGATCCAAAGACCCAAAATGGGAGCTCTCTCCTTACTCTAAACATTCATAGAGCTGAGGGTCAGCATTGAATATTCTCTGGTTTTATCACAGATACTACCTCTTATCTTCCCACCTGAGTCACCAGTTCATAGAGGGTATGACTGACTGTCCCCAGGCATACAGCCAGAACTCACTGTGTCTGGACGTGCCTCATACTACAGCCTCCACCCCTTCCAACCTCCTCTGTGACAGACTGGCTGTGTCCTTCCTGCTGAACACCAACTCTGCCCTGATGGCTCCTGCAACTTGGACGGAGTGACCAGGTGAAGTTCAGGAGACTCTGTGTTGCTGAGGAATTGGCCCTGAGGTTATTTCATGCCTGAAGGACCAGTGGTTTACTACTAGAATCATCTGGCTTCCTGCAAGGAAGATTTGGGGCTTGGTATCTGTTCCCCTTTCAGACTCAGCAGAACCTAGCCACCGCTGAAGTCACTGAAATCGGATCTACCATCCACAGAACTGGCTCCTCGAGTCTTGATTCACCAGAGGACAGAAGAAAAGGGGCCGCTCTGGTAGCACTTTCAGGTGCTAGCATACAGACATCTGGCCAAGGTGCACATGTTTAACAGGTGACCTCCAGGCCCACAAAGAGATGCCATTTCCTTTATGAATGGCAGACAGAAGGGGACTGTGATGGGGATGATAGGGTGACTGCCCTGTTCACTGTGATCCTTCCCCTTTTCCTAAAATCTTAAAGACATGGCCTGGCACCCCTCACTGGGCTCCTCATAAACAAATCTGATCTCCATTAGTAAGCTAGAAACTCCCTGCAGCCATGTGCATCTGTGTCTAGTTCATACTTTAGTTCCCTGGTGCTTGGTGAAGGGCCTGCGGCAGCACGGCAGCTCAGTGGTTTGAGAAGACATGCAGCACGCTGTAGGGCTTCCCCCTTCTCTAGGAAGCACTGCCGAAGTGCCAGGGCATAGCAAACAGGAGGCACCTGCATCACAGCAGTAGCCCAAGGGCCTGGAAGCACGTTGCCTAGGAAGAGTGACCTAAAACGCTGAGACAGTGGATATTTTCCCATTTAAGAAAACCTAGGCTCTTTCTGAAAGATGTGCATGGCTTTAAGAGAAGCTGAGTCCTGGCAAGAAAGGGAGGGAGGAGGAGGGACCGGGGAAGGAAGCTGACATTTACTTAGTGTCTACGGTGTGCCAAACTCACCACACAATGATGCTACTGTGAAATTCTAGTTGCCCTAGAACTGGCCACTATGTCGAGCTGTCAGAAAAGAGGGTTGTACTGGCCTTCCTTGACCTGGTTCTTCGAGAGACTTATGACCCCCTAATCCACTATTTATAATGACTTTACTTCTCTCCTGTTACCTAGGATGGTACTAGTTATACTCTGTACTTGAGAGAGCTGAGAGAGTCACTCCAATCAGCTTTTCTGTTCTGTGGCTCAGCTCAGGACCCTGGCTGAGAAAAGCTACAATACAGCTCCTCATTTAACCCTCACAACAGCCTTACGAGGGAGGACTATTTATATTTTGCAGCTGGAAAAGCTCAAGCTCAGAGAGGGGAAGTAGCTTGTCTTAAGATCTCAGGGGTAGTAGTCAGTGAATCCAAGTCTGTCTCCAGGGACACAAGATGGTAAAGTTGAGTGGGCAAAGCATCTAGAAGCCTGGTACGGAGCCTGACAAATTGAAGGCACTCAGTGAATATGTGGCTGAATGAATGAACCCCACTCCAGGAAGACACTGACAAGGGCTTCCGCTTGTTTCCTTGCTTTCTTCTTTCCTTCAAAGAGCTGGGGTTTTTTGTTTGTTTGTTTGTTTGTTT